GTGAAAAAACTGTGGGTGACAGCCTATGGACCCACCTGGTCTGGGGTCTTTCTCAAGCACTGTTGGTCCTTGATGGACAGAGGAGGAGACAAGCTCTGATGAATGAGGGTCACACGCCTGGGGCCAACTGGCCTCCAGGGGGTAGAAGGGAGACCTAAGCCCAGATCTGTCTGAACTTTGGCCAGGTGGCCTTTCCGCCAACTTTCCAGTGGGCTGGACAGATGACACCCGGCAAATAGGCAGGGGTAGGGGGGTAGGGGTTCCCCAGAGCTTGATGCTCTTGCTCCAGGAAGTGGAGGGACATTTGCATACCCAAGCCTTGCACAAAGAGGTCAGAAGCTCAGCCAGCAGTTAGAGAAGTCAGCAGCCCGAGAAGGCAGAAGCTCTGAACTCATGGTGCCTCTTCCTTAAGCGCTACTTGATTTTCACAGGCCCTTCCCCTCCCTCCAGGAAGTCCTCCAGGCAGCTGGGGCCCACGCAGATCTCTAGCTTCTGAGCCGCCAGGAAGTAGGAACCGCAGGCCTCTCTGACTCCCTAGAGCAGGCTCCTCCACGGCCTGCAGCGGCCTCATCCTCCCCTCCCGGCTTCCTGCAGCGTGAACAATCAGGCCGCCCATGCACGAGGGGTCCCAGGTGTCAGCTCCCCAAGGCTTCCAACCATGCAGGGCAGGCCACTGGGGGAAGGCGGGGAGTACACAGCCTCCTCGCCTCTGCCTGCTGCAGACCAAGGAAGGGGAGGAGAGGGGAGGCGGGGAAGCTGCGGTCGGAGGGTGCACACAGTGCGGAGTGTGACGAGAAGCTGCCCTCATCGCTGCACGTTGGAACCAGGAAGAGAAACTGAGCAGCCGGAAGAGTGGGCTGGGCCGTGTGGGGCCCTCCAGCCCGGGGGCCACTGAGGGGAGCTCCCAGATAGTCAGCTGCCAGACAAACCGTTTCATCCCTTGGACCTCAGTTTTCCAAAAGAAGTGAGGTTCACTATCTGGTCCTGCCAGAGTGCTCGAGATCCCTACAGTGTACACCAGTGGGTGCTGAGGCTGCATTCCACCTGCTGAGAATCTACGGGGCACTCTCAGCTGTGGGGTGTACCTGGAGCCAGCCTCTCTGCTCGTGTCACACACACGGAGCACACCAGCTCTTCCTTCTCCAGCTCTTTATTTTTAGGACTGAATTTGACTTTAATCATTACTTAGTGGGTTCTATTTCCAGCCCTGGGATGAAGGGACCCACAGGGGCGGAGGAGGAGGAGGAGGGAGTGCTCCCTGCTGGGTGTGGGGGGCAGCCTGCTCCTCCACCCATCCTGTCCCCAACCAAGGGTAGGGCGGGGAGGGGGTATTGACAAACACCCAAAGGGCTCGCCCCAGCCAGGCCCGCATCTTGGGGAGGACCCCACCCTGTGACCTCATCTTGGCCGGAGCTGAGGGACAGGAGGGCAGCTGTAATGCCCACTTCCCCTGAGCCAACCCCAGGGAGTGGGAGAAGTCCGGCAGCTAGGGTACGAGATCGAAAGCTTGAAGCCCTCTGAATGGAATGGGCCACTTAGGGAGAACTCCTTGCCACCAGAGTGATCTGGGGCTACAGCCTCTTGGGCCCAGGGAATGCCTGCTCTGTCACCCCAGTCTGCAGGGAAGCAGAACAGGGGAGGCAAGGTATGTCGCAGTGGTTGTCAGGTCAGACCGGGGCAGCACCTGCCAGACAGGGTGATGCCAACATGAGTTCCTGGGACTCTGAGGACCCACTAGGTGCCCTTCCAATGTGCAGCTGGGAGACCCTCAAACTGCCCCCCTCCATCCTTACTTTTTCTCCTTCCCTGGCCACCAGGAAAGATGGGACATTGTGCTGATCTAGCTGTCCCTGCGCCGGAGCTCAGGACACCCCGCCCAAGTCTCAGGCTAAGGAGGCCACTATTTCCACCTGAGACTGCCAGGCCGGACCAGCCTTGCAGAAGCCAAAGCCAGAGGCGGCCAGGCGCCCAGAGAAGAGGCCTCTTCTACTCAGCTCCAAGGCTGGGAGACCGGAAGGGGAATGGGTGGGGTCAGGCCCTGGACACCAAAGGGGGCGGCCCATCTTGCCAGGGCCAGTTCCACACCCTGAGCCAGCCAATCACAGTGAGGCAGGCAAGGAGGTGGGGCAGGGAACTGGCTATCAGGGCCCAGAGTCTCAGGCTAGAGGGTGTCAGGGGGCGCCTGGGCCAGGACCTCCCTGCTGGGTGACTTGGGCCACGGCTCACGGGTCTTTCCTAAGGCGGAGGTAGCATGGGATGCTCCAGCACGCTGACCCGCGCTCATGAGGCCCTTTCTAATCCTTGTTAGTTAGTTAGCACACACTGTCCTCTGCAGCATGGGGCCTGTCCTGTCTTGATACCAAGGCACCCTGCAGCAGAGGGCAGTGAGTGGTCCAGCATCTCCCTACCCTGGCCTATGTGACATGTCCCGGCCCTGAACCTGTGTGGCTTGTGTGCCAAATTGCCTGCTTATTCCTGGCAACTTGGGACTCGGTAATAGCCACCACAGTGACAGATGGGACATGCATGGGCGCGGGCAGAGGGTCTGGGTGAAGCTGGTGGCAGAGCGATGAGACGATCCAGCACCTCGTAGCAAGCAGTTAGTCAGACCAGGTGTCGCCAGGAAGAAGTGCCCAGGACACCATGATGAATGGAAATGAATGAATGGACAGGGACAGCAATGGAGGAGGCACGGGGCAGACTGGCAGGGATGCCAAAGCACTAACCATCACGGCCTGGTGAAGAGACAGTGGGTGATTTCTGTTCTGTTTTCTAAATCTTCTATAGCCACTTTGTTACCTTCTAAATTAAGCAAATCAGTACACACACAGTTTTCTTAAAAGGAAATGAGTCTGGTTTTCCTGGGTTCCAGAAACCCCCAGTCCTGGCCCAGAGGTCTAGGACGTTTCTGCCAGGGGAAGGCCCCTCACACACTCGAGGATCTGTCCCTCCCTTCTTTCCCAGGCTCAATCCCACTGTTCTTTGAGGGCTAGAGGCTTTGAAGTCTCTCCAAAAATGGACCCCTAAAGCTGGGTGTGGTGGCACATGCTTATAATCCCAGCATTTGGGAGGCTGAAGCAGGAGGATCACCACAAGTTCAAGGCCAGCCTGTGCTACATAGTGAGACGCTATTTTAAAACAAACCAAAACCCCCAAAGATGGAGCTCTGAACTGGGCCCAAGGCAGTCTTGCCTCATCAGGCCACATGGAGTTTTGCAGGGGCAATCAGATCACACTGTGGATCTGGGGCCCCTGCCTGACTGGTCTGGGGGACGCTACACTCTGTCCCTTCCCCAACACTTGCTGTGGGTCCCACCGTGTGGCTCAGCCTCTTGCGGCCCAGTGCCCCTGAGAGGGTGAAGGGCACAGGAATCGGCCTCCTGTCTTTTCCTGCCCTTAGCCCAAGGTAGAGAGAGAAGCAACCACTTCTAAGAGGCAGGAAGGCACCAAGCTCCCCAAGAAAACAAAACACACCCAACACAGTGCTAGCCAGAGGCCTGGGGACCCTGGCCACACCCCTGCAGCTCAAGGTTGGTAAAGAGGCACCCAACTGTGTCAGGGCCAGGTCCCAGCCCCAGCCCCTCAGGCTGGAAAGGAAGTTAGGGCTGGGGGTAGGGCTGTGTTCGGGAGCCTGCCAGTATGTTCCAGGGCAGGGGCCTGAGCAGGACAGAACCACACGGGCAGCTCCAAGGGGCCCAGACACAGGTCACATCCTCCCGGGAGCCGCAGGGTCCTGTTGGACCGTCAACCTCAGTCCTTCTGCCCCTGCACTCTCCTGCTGTGGCCACGCCAAGACAGAGACTGGGACACCCAGGGGACAGAAAGCTTGAGATGGGCCCTGTGGTGTCCCCAGCCTTCTGACACCCTCCTGCCAAGGCTGCATGGTGCTGCCAGGGAAGACAGGGCTCCCACCTTGCCCGTCCTGATCTCATTTATGTTCCACACTTGCCTGGCTGCTGTGCCAGGTTGGGGAAGGATGGATCAGGACCAGCCTCAGTGCCTGGGGCCAGGGCAGGTTCCTCCACACACCACACACCACACAGGTGGCCACCATTCACCATGTCCCCCACCGAAAGGACTGAGCCTCGGGCACCCACGGGAAGTCTCACGGCAGTGCAGATGCTGCCTAAGCCCAGACCCAGGCAGAGGAGGCCGGAAGCCCTCTCTCTCCTCTCCAGCCTTACGCCGGGGAGCACGTGCTCACCCCACAAGGTCCCTCCTGGGCCAGCCTGAGGCCTGAGCCTGGTAGGTGACAGTGGCTGTCTGGTGTCCCTCTACCCACAGCAGACCAGCTCTGCAGACCTGGATGGAAGCTGGCAGCTTTCCTCCACCAACAGCCTGGAGTGGGACTGGCCCTATGGGCCTCAGTTCCCTGGTCTATACAGTAGGCAGGGAAGGGAGTTCCCAGTTAGCTCCACCATCTGGCAGACGACACACCCCTTCCTAGCACCTGGCCATGGTGGAGCCTGGGAGAACCAGAAGCTAGGGTGCCATACCACTAAAGCCTGCTGTCACCTCCACTGGGATGGAAGCCTTGCCAGGTTTCCCCACCCCAGGGTCAGAAGTCCCTTGGCTTAGGCCTGGTCCTCCCCAAGGCCAAAGGTGACAGGTTGAGTCCCAGGCTTCTAGCAGGAATCAGGGAGGTGGCTGGGCCATAAGTGGCCTGGGACCAGAAGGGCCTCCGGGCATACCGAGGGACAGGTCAGAACCAGCAGGCCAGGACAACTGCAGGGAGGCCAGGGCGGGGACGGGCAAACTCCCAGGGACCTAGCCCACTCTCCAGGCCCCGGCGCACCTCGGGGCTGCAGCTCCCTCCAACTCCGAGATGCACACGGGGTGAGGGCTCAGCTGACCCGAAACGAGTCCCTGCAGGGTCTCACGGTGACTCCCGGGAGAATTCGAACCCGCGTCACGGGCTCGGGTGGGGGATGGGAGTGGACGTACGGCGGGCACGAGCGGGGAGCCAGCCTCCCCTACTCCGCCCATCGCCGGGCACTCACCTTCCGCGGGGCGCTGCGGTCCGGGCGACATCGGCGGCCTGCGGGACGGACCCTGCGGCGGGGGCGGGGC